GACTGCATTCTGCCTGCCCTTGCCCTGCTTATGGTGGATCCCGGAGCTTGACCACAGCTGGTGGCTGCCGGGGTGAGAGCTCCGGGCTTGGCCTCTTTCTCTGCCCACCGCAGACTACAGATGCTGATTTTGCTGATTCTGTTTTTGTGATGAAACTACACCACCCACCCAAACCCACTTCGGTGGAGGCGACCCTCCTACAGGGCCAGGGAGAACTGCCTTCTGATTTCCCCGTTGTAAATCTTTACGGAAGCTCCTTTGACTCTCTCAAGCTCTCCCAGGGCGAGCGCGTGCGTTCGAACGGCCGATCTTTCTAGTAGCAGCCCAGAGCTTATCCCTTGGAGTTCCCTTTGTGGTTGAAGGGACTGTAAAATACTGTTCGAATTAGAACTCAGAGCTCTCCATCAAGACATTTTACTTTCCTATTTTACTTTCTTTTTCCACTGGAAGATTGAGGATGGGGGTGAAGGAAGGGCCCAGGAATGAACGTGTTGGCCGCCTGCTATCAACAGTGAGAACTTTAAGACTGACTGTCCTGTTTATTTTCCCACCTAGGGTTCAATGTCTAACGAAATTTGGCCCAGGCTTCTTTCCCCAGTTCCCTGAGAGCCCCATTTGTTCAGCCTCGGGGTCCTGCTCCTGCTGACTGGTAGAGCGCTCAGCGCGCACTCAGCGTGGGCCTGAGGGGGCGACCGGGAAAAGGCCAGGTCTCTGACTTGGTTGAGACACGGCCGAAGCCTGCTCTGTGTCTCCAGTTTCTTTAGCTTCTTAGCCGGCAGGCCCTCCAAGCATCCTTGGGGGAGAGGGAGAGGTCCCTGAAGGGCTGTGGGGAGCATTGGGAGGAAACCCTGGCTGGACAGCACAGCACAGCCCCGGATCATAGTTGCGCCCTGGGGTGAGGTTCGAACCCCTCCTGGGGAGGCAGTGGAGGAGGGACTGTAAGTGGAAGGAGGTAGGAGAGCGGGGATTACAGTCGGAGGCAGGGTCTAGATCAGCCGGAGCTGGGGGCCCCGCTGAGGCCTTGGGCAGGTTCAGGGAGGCGAGACCCTCGGGCGCCTCTCCCGCCGGCACTTGCTGATGCGCCCCCCCCGGGTCTGACTCGCCGCAGGTCTGGTTCAAGAACCGCCGCGCCAAGTGCCGCCAGCAACAGCAGAGCGGGAGCGGGACCAAGAGCCGGCCAGCCAAGAAGAAGTCGTCCCCGGTGCGGGAGAGCTCCGGCTCCGAGAGCAGCGGCCAGTTCACGCCCCCTGCCGTGTCCAGCTCGGCCTCGTCCTCCAGCTCAGGGTCCGGCGCCTCGGCCAACCCAGCAGCGGCGGCCGCGAGCCTGGGCGGGAACCCGGCGGTGGCTGTCGCGTCGTCGCTCAGCACGCCGGCTGCCTCGTCCATCTGGAGCCCGGCTTCCATCTCGCCCGGCGCCGCGCCAGCCTCGGTGTCTGTGCCCGAGCCGCTGGCAGCGCCCAGCAACGCCTCGTGTATGCAGCGCTCGGTGGCCGCGGGCGCCGCCTCGGCCGCCGCCTCCTACCCCATGTCCTACGGCCAGGGCGGGGGCTACAGCCAGGGCTACTCGGCGCCTCCCTCATCCTACTTCGGCGGGGTGGACTGCAGCTCGTACCTGGCGCCCATGCACTCCCACCACCACCCGCACCAGCTCAGCCCCATGGCGCCCTCGTCCATGGCCGGCCACCACCACCACCACCCGCACGCGCACCACCCGCTCAGCCAGTCGTCGGGCCACCATCACCACCACCACCACCACCACCACCAGGGTTACGGCAGTTCCGGGCTCGCCTTCAACTCCGCTGACTGCTTGGATTACAAGGAGCCAGGCGCCGCCACTGCCTCCTCCGCCTGGAAACTCAACTTTAATTCCACCGACTGTCTGGACTATAAGGACCAAGCGTCCTGGCGGTTCCAGGTCTTGTGAGCCAGGAGTTGGGAAAGAGAAGAAACTCGACTACCTGCGCCCTCTGTGGTCCGCGTCCTGTTGCTGCTGCTGCCGCCGCCGCACCTCCCGCCTTTGCCTCGGCTTTTCCAGAAAAGAATTTCCACAGACCCTGAAAAGATGTCCATTGCCCGCCTGCACTGCCGCCCCCATCTTCGTGCCATTTGTGAGGCAGATGTGCACATCTGCTCGCCCCCTAGGAAGGGGGACCTGGTGCTTTGGCTTCTTGGCTCACCCATGCTGTGCGCAGGAGCTGTGCGCGCTCCTCCCCAACCCCCACCACATGCCCCCCTTCGATGCTTTCTGGACAGTGTTTACGCATTCGCCGCCTCCGGAGGCTCGTCCTTCTGACCCACCGTTTGAGCCCAACACTTATTTATTCTTCTGGATGCTTAGAGTCACCAAGTGGCATGTCACTGCGCGCGCGCGCGCACGCACATTACTCCAAATGCAAACAACCACTAAGTGTTTCTTGAAGACTACCGCCCCTTCAGCTGCCCCGGGCCCAGCTCCCCTCCTGCAGGCCAGAGCTCCCCGGCCTTGTCTCCTCATTCCGGCCGGGCGTGCAGGGCAAAGTCGACCACTGCGCGCCTCCTGCCTCCAGCCTCCCTCGAGCGCGCGCAGGTTCGCGTCCCGCCCCTCGCCACGCAGGCCTGGCAGGCAATTCCGCCTCGGCGGGAATGCTGAACGTAGTCGGGTCCGTTCCAGGAGCCCTTTAAACTTGTTAGATGCTGTTGAGAACTGAGCGAATCTCAATTCTTAGCGCCCAGGAAACAGAACTTTAAAGATATATACAGTATACATACATATATATATATATATATACACACACATATATATAAAGCAAAAGCAAAAAAATATTTCCCCTATCCTCTTTCCTCTCTTCCTCAAAAGATGGCGCTTTTAAGTTTTCAGTTGTTACAAAGCTGTTCTGTCCTCTTCACACCTTCTCCCTCTGTATTTATTAAAGGGAACCGCCTGGTTCTGGAAAGCTGAGCGCGGAGGACTGGAAGAGTTGGGGTGTGGGGGGGGGTGTATGTCGAGGTAACAGTGAAGACAGGGCACTTGGGTGGGACATAAGTTGAACAGGGGCTTCAAGCTCAAACCCTCACCCAGCCAGCACAGGGTCACAGTCCCAATTTAGAGGCCAAAATCGAACAAGTGTCAAAATACACGCATTGTTGGGGGGGGGGGCGGGAATTAGACCTCAAAGAAGGCCCGCCCCAAGCCCGAGTTCCAGTTCCTCTGTCGGCTTCTCTCTTTAAACACCCCTGTTTTTGTCTAGTGAGTTCTTAGTGCACCTTCATCCTCTGAAATCTGCGGGAGCCCGCACACCTGCGTTATGTTTTGGCTTTGGCCGCTTGTCCAGTAGGTGGGAAAGTAATTTGTAAATTTGATTTGTCCGACGTGAAGATCACAAATTACTCGTTGAGATGTAAGGCAGTCCCCCTCCCTCTTCCCTTTATCGACATTACTTCCAGAAAATAAATGCAAATTAATGAACGATTTGTCAGTGTTGCTCTTGATTGCAGCCCCAGGTCCTAGTCGAGGGCGAGCGGGGCTGGGGAGAGGGGCCAAAAGCAGGGGAACCTCCGTGTTAATAATTCGCAGGTTAGTGACCTGCGTGGAAAGGCCAGAGGACAGGGCAGGAGGACGTGCCAAGAAGAGGCCCCAGAAGCCTTCTGCTGGGGAGTGACCTATCTTCTCTCCGCTTGGTCTATCCCTCAGGCGTTTTGACCCCGCGTCCCCCCTCGCCGACATCCAGGGTAGAGACAGGTGTCAGGACGCAATCCCCGAAGCAATTGCATTCTCTTCAGGTGCAGGAGCCTGGCACTGATTTCTTCACCTTAATTGCTAGCACCAGAAAGCAAAGGGGAAGGAGGAGGGGAAGCGGGTCAGGAGGCGGGAAGGGGGCAGCTCTGCAAGGCTGAGCTGAGCCCCCCCCCAAAAAAAAAAGAAAAAGAAAACAAAACGCCACCTCGCACCACCTACACTTTCTGCAGAGCTGTCTCAGGTGGTTTCACTATAGCTGGGGGATCAGCATCGTTAACATGTTAAAATGTCCCTTTGAACCCACAGTCTCCTGTTCCAGAAGCAGCCAGCTTTTGCTCACGTTGCAAAGTTTGTTCAAACCAGACACACAGAGAGATCCTGGAAAATTGCAACACGGACGCGCGCTTTGGTTTGGGAGCAAGACACGCCGGGCTTGCTGCTGGGGGTCTGGAGGGTGGTTCCATCTCCCCTAGAAGACGACCCCCGAGAGGTCCGGACTGGGGTCTGAAACCGCCTAAGGGCGAGGCTGGGAAGTGCTCCACTTGGCCAGGCCTCGGAAGGAATAAGGAAAACAACGAAAAGTTCCCCGCGAAGGGCCCAACACGCTCTCATTCTTTATATTCGGTGTCAGTCCGAGTTATGAAAACTCTTCCCCTCCAGGGTGGGGCCCCGCGAAGTCTCTGAGCTTCGAGTCTCTGCTGTGGAGAAGTCCTGAGGGTCGTGTCCTCCTCGGGGTACACAGCTTCCACCCGGACTCCGTGGACCCGGCAGGGTCCCCTGGAGGTCAGGCCCGGCCTTCGAGGAGGGGGAGGGAGCCGGTCCGGCCTCGCCTGCTGGGGGCGCCGTGGCCCCGCGGGGCGCCGTGTCCGCACGTGAGGGCAGCGGAAGCCCGGGACCGCCGACTGGTGTCACCCCCTCTGCACTCCCCTCCTCCGATGCTCCTTTGCCTCCCGAGACCCGCGTTCTGGGCTGCGCGGCACCCAGTCTCCTCCAGGCAGATGTTGTGGCGCCTAGAGGTTCTTAGACTGAAGGGAGTGGACCTTGCTTTGCACTCGTGCTCCCCTCCCCCAAGAACAAGGTACTGAAACCCCTATGTGGGCCTCGGTTTCCTCGACTGTCGGTTTATTGGGTCCCATCAGAACTCGGACTTTACGGAACTTAACATTCGAGGCCGCGGATGCAGACGGAAAGGGCTAGCCTCAACCCTTGAGCCAGGGGGCATCTATTAGAGTGACACGCGGCGCCTGCGTACTCGCGTGGGCGGGCGGGCCTCGAGGCTTCGTTGGAGGAGAGGCACGTGCTTCTCCTGGGGTCTTTGCCGGCACGGCGGGCACACGAGCGAGGAGTTGCCGGGGGGGCCTTAGGAGGTGCTGGCGGGCCAAAGGCAGCCCCGGCGCGGGTGAGTGTGAGGCCGGCGGGGGGGGGGGGCCGGGAGGGAGGCGGGGTGGCGTCGGGAGCGCGGCTCTGGCCCTGCCACCTGTTAGACCGCGTGCGCGTCCTCCTCGCAGTCCTCCCGGCTCGCGAGGGGGGGGGGGAGCTTGGTTCCCTTTGGCCTTGGTGTTCGCGTCCTGGGGAAGGGAATGGAGAGAGACATCGTCAAGGGTTCGCCTGGGGGAGAGTTAGCCACGTCGCAGGCTCCACGCGCAGTTCGGTTTCTCTGCTTAAGGAAAACACATTTTTCGGTTTGTGGCTAATGTTTTTTGCTGGTCGACTAAAAAAATCTGCCCTTGGCTGAGTGCTTGGAAAGTCCCCAAACTTAGGGGTAGAGAGAATGGGTCAGCTTTTGTCATTTGCAACGATTAAAACAAAACACATCACCCAGCCCTCAATATTTCTCAAGAATGTTGCTTTTGCTCAAGTTGTGAGGAAGATGTCTGGAAGTAGTCAGCCGCGTTTTGTTGCGCAGCTTTTCAGTTAGACCCAATAAGTAGTTTCTCTGGGTCGATGGACACGCTTCTCCAAATTTGAGTGTTTCTCGGTGGAAACAAAACCAAAGTTTAAAACTCCAGGCTGTTAAAGGTGAGGGGGAAGTCTGGTTAAGATGATAAAGGCTGAAAACATAAGGCACATAATGTTAGCAAATTTCCGTTCGCGGAATTACAGAGACCAGAAACGTGGTTTCACATGTGTCCCAAATGACTAGTTTCCCGCTTGTATTTTAGTGCAGAGATGCACAACTAAACGGCTGTCTACAAGTGTAGAAAATAAAAGATAAGTTTACAACTCATTTTGGCAGATTAATATTAATGATGTCACTAAGCACGAAGGTTTTCTTCATAGCTACAGAAATGAAATGCATCTGGTCGATAAATATAGTTAATATATACATTATTGGTAAAGAGATTATCATTACTATTCAAGAGTAAAAAAAATATCGCTTGGCTTCTGATGCTGGATTAATTTAGGAAGAGCAACAAAGTATCTTTCTAAAATTCCCTAATTAAAAACTGAAGGAATTTTGAACAAATTATTTTGTATTTTTCATACTTGCTCTCCCTTCTCCCATGCATTTTAATGTCTAAAATAAGGTTGGGGAAAAACTTACATATTTAATGAAAAACGTATTCAGGAATACAAGGCTTTAAAAATGACTAGCCTTAAAAATGAAGAGTAAAGTGCAACAATGAATGGAAAGCCAAAGTTTCTGTAAATTTTCATTAAAATTAATAATAAAAAAATTTTAAAAATGAATAGTAAGCAAATATAATAATAACATTACTCGTGTTGACAACAAGAAAATGTCTTCAGTGTCTTGAAACACTAACCTGCTTACATATCTTGGGAATGCAAAAGACTTTAAAAAAATTAGAAACTTTAAAATTGTTTTGGGAGGGGGCTCTGCTCAGTAAGATGGCTTTTGAGAAGGCAATTACTGTTCCTATCGATATTTACTGATTCGTGGAAAAAGCTGAAATTGCTTTTGAGGAGTAGAGAAATAATGCCTTTCACCTGAGGATTCTTTAAACAGTTTTAAAACCTGGTTAGTTTTTATTTAAAACATATTAGGAGCAGTCCTTCAAATTCAGAAATAAATGCCAAAAAACCTTCAGTAATTTAGGTGAAAAGGCAAATTACACAATATAGCTGGAGTAAAAACTACTTTTAAGTGCATCTGATATTCTTGAGGAGGTGGGGAGAAAAGGAGGTAGAAATCAAAGAAATGTGTAGTGTATTCTCAACTGAAACGCTGGCCTTTAAGTGAAATTGTG